TGGTTCGTAAGTAAACCTCCACAGAGTATTAAATAATAATCTTCTTGTTATTCTAATTTACAACTCGTTTCGGAATTTGTATTATGTATAGAACCAATTTGAACTTAGATTTGTTCAATAATATCAAAGTAAAACTTAATTTTATACAAAACCCATACACCCGAGTCTCATGAAAGTGTCCCTGGTGGGTTAGAAGTTAATTTACAGATTTACAACGCTAAAATCTCGAGCTCGATTCATGGCGATGGACAGAGAGCACATGTGACCCATTAAATAGCTTTGCGCTAAAAACAACGACAACTGCTCAATTAACAATAAATGTAACCCGTTCTTTTGTCAAAAATTATTTTTATAAATAAGTAGTTTCTTTGTAAATAGTATTATTTTTTTAATTAATTAAAACCTGATGTATTGAATAATGATTACATCTCCTATTTAATAGTGAAGATTGTTTTAATTGTTGGTGCGCAAGTATGAAGTACTCCAAGAGCTATTAATAGACCTAACATTTGTGATAATAATCGCGTTAACTGCAACCCCAAGAGTTATTAATAGACCTAACATTTGTGATAACAGTCGCGTTAACTGCAACCCCAAGAGCTATTAATAGGCCTAACATTTGTGATAATAATCGCGTTAACTGTAGATTCCGCCCCCTCCCTCAATATTCGTTCTGCCTGTCCATTGCGGATTCAAAATCAGAGGTGCAACTCCATATAAAATAGAAGAATGTGAAAAAAAAATCTGCAATTGATGCGATTTTTATTACAATTGTTAGGCCACAATTGTTCTAATGTTTTGCCACCTTTCGGCGTTTAAACCGTAACTTTTAAAAACTAAGATGCAATACAAAAGTCAGCTTCCAGTTAGACCTTCTACGACTGTTGTGAGGCATAACAAACATTAATATTCAGCTGTGCCTAAACAAAGCGTACACACAAACCGATTTTGCAAAGGAATCTTACCTTTTATTTTCACTGAAGCAGTGCTTGTTAGTTTAGAAAATTTTCACAAAGCTACACAGTTGCATGGCACATAGCGTGGAGCAGTTTCGGTGGAAACGTCTCGAGCTATGAATTCTCGAATTCGCAATCGGGGCATACTAACCACTGAGCCACAACTATCTCTTCGAAGTGGTAATATATTCTAAGCTACATATGATGGTCTAGTTTAGCTTATAAAGATTATAAACATGTTTGTTTGATGCCGACGAGTATGATTTAGTATATATATTTATCTTGTAAAGTGTGTTTGTTTGTTATGGATTTCGCGCTAGCCATCTCTAATTCAGCAGTGTAAGACCAGAAGAAAGGCAGCTAGTCATCACCACCCACCGCCAACTCTTGGGCTAATCTTTTACCAACGAATAGTGGGATTGACCATAACATTATAACGCCCCCACGGTTGAAAGGGCGAGCATGTTTAGTGTGAGTGGGATTCGAACCCGCGACACACAGCTTGCGAGTCGAGCGCCTTAACCACCTGGCCTGTAAAGTGTGTTCGTCTTGCATGTAATAGTGTCTGATTTTTGTTTTGTGTTATTTGCTCTAACTATATAAAGTGTTAATTATTTTATAGTTTAGATAGTTTTAAAAACCGTATTACATAATCAATTAGACTAATATAAGACCCCACCCATATGGCTTAGCGGTAAGCTTGAAGGCTTATATGCTAAACATCGGGGTTCGATACTCGTGGTTGGCACAGTGCCAATAGCCCAAGATATAGCTTTGCTTTTAAACACAAACAAACCGACTAATAAAAGAAACAGATTCTACAGATCCGGAAATAAACAGGGCCTCTCCTTTGTATCTTATCTTATAGCGTTCCTTATCCTCTAACTGCAAGAAAAGTGTACTTATCAGAGAGAATGCATGTATAAAAAAAGGGGGTGGTAAGTAGAATATTTGTAGATAAATAATATATATATGTGTGTATATCATAACATGTATGTAATTTTTATAAGGCAGAACGTGCGCTTGCTCTGTTATGAGTAACGATTGTACACGTGAGAACAGCTTTCAGTCTTTACAAACAGTCAGAGATTGATCCTTTTAGATTTTCTTGAGTTACTCTTCGATTTATTTTTGTTGTGAACACAAACGAAGGTGTTTTGATGAATCTAGCTAGCATTTCTCTTCAACTTTTTGAACAAAGCTAGTGCAAACACGATAAAACATTTACACTTTATCAACACATAATATTTAATTTCCTTATTTATTTTTATCTGGTTCTTCTTTCAGTGATGCCTTTTAAAGCATACTTTTGTGTTGTAGTTAGAAACTACTATATGTATTTGTTTCTCTCTCTTCTAGATACAACCCATTAAATTTTAAACGAATAGTAAATATTCGTTAAACCTGCTCACCGTTCGCTCAACTTTGAACTTCAATTTATGCAAGTATCGTGTACATGTAGTAGCTTATTCACAAGAACCCAGGCCGATAACATTAAAGTTTTATACATTCTGCCCATTTCCTGAAGCACTCAGCTAAGTTCGAACAAATAGTATAACGCGCCTTTTCAGTTTATTTCCCCTTTTCCTTCTGCCACTATGTGCCATTGTTTGGTTTTTCAATGATCATCAAATATTTATTTTAATTGTTTCAGAAACATACACACACACATATACACACTTGCAAAGAAAGCTAATTAAGATCTCTTCAATTAAAGCTTTTCTATTGTTAAAAATTTCTTACTTCACTTATCATCGTTGCTAAGCATAAAACCGAAGCCCTTAAAAATATAAACAATGGATCTAGCTCATTATCGATCCTTCTGTAAAACACTCCGTTACATTGATTGCTCTGCAACTAGGCCTTTAGAAACCATATCAGATATCTTCATGCTACCATAATCTTATATAAATTACGATCTAGGTTAATTGTCTTAAAGTGTACTATTCATTCTGAATAAATAATAACTTATAAATCGATTAATATGAACTCAGTTAAACTCTCGTTCACCACACTCGTATATAATTTGAAATACTCTCATTCTTAGCATCAAAAAGCTTTATCGAATTACCGTAACTACTGCAGCCTATATAATAGGCCTAAGACTCTTTAATGCTTATTCGTTTTGAGCAAAACTGGTTTAAACAAAACCTTGAGACAGTTTACAAATATATATAAATATTTTTCGCTTTTTTTTATATTACACAAATAGTGATTTATTAGCATGAAGAAATTATAAAAAGTTATAAAACAATTCAAAAAGAGTAAAACATTTTCGAAATCCATTAAGTAATTTGAGGATTTCTGATTCCATTGAGTCGGCAAAATTAATTTTAAAAAAGCTGGTGAAGTTTAATGCTATTTGGCAGTGAATGCAATATCTTAGACAGTATTTTCTTCTATATGTTTGGGGCGCCATCTGTTATCACTAAACAAAACTTCGCTATATGAAAATGTGTGGTGCTGGTTCAGAATTATTGTTTTTAGTTAAGCACAGAGCTACACAATGGACTATCTGGGCTCTGCTTACTACGGGTATCGAAATTCGGTTTCTAGCGGTGTAAGTCCGCAGACATACCGCTGTACCTCTGGGGGGGGGGGGCGGTTCAGAATTAAGAAAGGCGTTACACTACCTTGACTACGAACTGACTAACTAGAGGAAAGAGAGCCTGTGCTTTGCCTGGTGCTGAACTTCTTTACAATTTTTCAATCATATCAAATCGAATATTTTTTATGTCGCTTCCTACAGTAATTACCGTTTTTGTAATGAGTATTATCAAAGTCAATATTATTTTAACTAAACGTAGACTTTTTCTTAAACTTCATTTACTTTAAAATGGTACAAGGTTGAAAAAATATTTTTCATTTTAATTTATATATTTTTAAGCGCAAAGCTACACAATGAGCCACCTGCATTGTACTCAAGGCTGGTATCGACCCACGGTGTTAAGCATTATATGCCCATAAACTTACCGCTGGGCCACAGGAGATGTGTGTAAATAACACGGCACGTTAACACATACTGAATAGATGGGACAGCGGTAAGTCTACGGATCTACAATGCTAAAATCAGGGGCTCGATTCCCCTCGGTGGACACAGCAGATAGCCCGATGTGGCTTTGCTATAAGTAAAATACACAGAAAAAGCATATTTCTCAAGTCACATTTAAAATATAGAGAACTGAAGTTTTCTTTATTTTCGGAAGGTGTTCATTCGGAATTAATAAACTTTATTTGATCAGAAGTTCTTGGTTGATAACTACAATAATCCAGTTTGGAAATTACCAGTAGAAATACAATATTCATTTTTGCCGTGTATCCTTACAGATTTATTGATTTTGCGTTCCAAGACTAAATTTGTTTTATGCTTTACTGTGACGTTCTTTAGACTCAATTTTCCGCCTCGTGAATCTATTACCAGCATATTTTTCCAATTTAGAAATAGGTACTGGAGCTTTCACTTCATTTGAGGTATAGAGTATAGTAGTATTATTGTTTAATCTGTGGAAAAGTAGAGTGCCGCTCAATTGTTTATGTGTTGATCTACGGATTGAAAGGTTTGAGATGTAATGCTGCTAAACATCTTCCAAACTTTCGGCTTTGGGTGCTTTATAAAAGTGACACTGAGTCCCTTTATTCAGTTACAAAAGCTCAATAAAGTTTTTATAGCGGCATGTACTGCTGGCTGCTTTTCTTTTTCTAGTTCAACGACTAATAACTTTATTTTGAAATGTAAACATGTACTACGTGAATATAATTATATCGTCAAACTAACTGACTAACGTTAAAAGCTTATCGTTGTTAAATATATATATTAATTACATACTTTAAGTGTTTCGATGGTTTTATGAAGAAAGGTGTTTTCTCCCCCCTCTCCCCAGTAGCTTACATAACTAAAAACCGTGTTTCTGTACCCGTGGTGGGCAGAGTATAGATAGTCCTTTGTGTAGATTTGAGCTTAACTATAAACAAACAAATCCTCTAAAATTTGATGATTTGTAGTAAGAATATATATCCTATTTCAAAGAGGGCGTCATCATCGGACGACAAGCGTTTTACGCATGTGCAAATCTTTCTGCCCTTGGCTTCAGAGAAGAGATTTGTAAGGTCGTTTACAGCAAAAGCATAGACCGAGGTTGTACTGGTAATCTGTGTTTCGATTTTAGTTGTAATTTATTTAAGAAAAAAAAGAAAGATTATTTTAAAAAGTACTCGTTGATTAAAACATAGTTTATGCTTTTTTTTTCTACTTATCATATTATGTTATTTGAAATATTTTTTTAGATTATATCTGTTCAAAAATATCACAACTGAATTTAGGAATGAACCTTGCCATCTGTTTCTAAATTTTGTTGTAAAAATCTACAAATTGAGGTCTGAAACTGGATTAATAATAATATTACTTTATACTTAGTTTAGTCAAACAGCTTTAATTTATCCATTTCCTTTGTATTTAAGACTCTTAACATGCTTAATTTACAATATTTTAATAAGAGATAGCATATTTAGCATTATCATATGATATGGTTTTTAGATTTATGGTGAATCTCCAAATGTAGCATATCTGCAATTATTTGTTTAAAATGTATATTAATCTATGTTCTAAAAATTACAACTTGCAGTGATGTTGATTTACTTAAACAGTGTAAGAACATGCTTGAAAGTGACTGTTTAATAATTTTTTTTTTGGATATGGGTGAGAATATACATGTGGCATCTCTTCTTACACGATATCAGCTAATTATATACACACTATCAATTACACAATGAATGTTTAAATGAAACAGAGTATGAAACTTTTGTAATTTAAATAATAGAATAACATAAGTGAATATTATGAGGAATAATGAGACGAACATTATTTGATTCTGTAATAAATATAAAATATTTAATGTTATAATACACATACTGTGAAAGAGCATATCTCACATTCTAACACAAAGTTGGTGGAATTATTGAATTATAAACTTAAAATTGTTTCTGAAATCTTGAAGAGGGAATGTTACAGTCTGATTAGTAGCCCACACGTGGTATAGGCTGTGAGGTGAATGAAATGTGATCGTTGTATTAACGAGACAGGTATATTTATGTAATGGGCTTATTCTTTGCCCTCAATTAAAAAAAGATTCATTGATCTTCAGTATGAGCAGATAATATTTTTTTAAGATTTACTTAACTAAGTTTTATGTATAAACTAATGTATTTGTTGCTTGAGTTTTTCATCAGAATATTTTAGATAAGAGAGTTCTGTATAGGATTTACTTTTGTGATACTTTTACATTATTACAGTGATAAAAACTTCCTACCTTGAAATCTGTGTGGTAGGCTCTGTTTAAAAGGGTATTATGTAAAGGTTGTATTGATTGTGTAAAACTAGTTTGTTTTTTGTTTTTTTATAGAGATTTATTGTGTTTTTATAATATTCCATGGGTTGTTTTTTATTCACGTTATATAATTTATGGATTACAAAGGACTGTTTGGTCATTTAAGGCTTTCATTGCAAAGCTATTTTTGAGAAGGGTGAAAATTAAAACCCACCCTTTATTTTTCAGAAAATTTTTAATTCCTCTTTAAAGTTATGAAGTGCAGGGCTCCATTATTGCTGACAACAACTCATTTTGTAAACCATATACCCTGTTAGAAAAAATTGGGTCTGTGTGTGTGTGTGTATGTGTTTCCACGTGTGTATTTCGAGAACTAGTAGATCGACGTACACAAAAATTTCGCACGAGATGGGAAGTCAGCTTGGGACAGGCCAGATCTTAATTCTGGATCACTGAAGCATTTTTTTTATAATGGAGAGGAAGGGAATTTTCATGGTTTTAGGCTAATAATTGTAAAGTGTGATTGGATTTGTACCAAATTTCAGGGGTACATTAAATAAATGAACCAGATTATCGATCATTCTGTATCTGAGAAGGATTTTCAAATGTGAAATTTGAGTTATCCAATATAAACGCATGCATTCTTGAAAAGAAGTGGTGGGTCAAAGGTATGCAATCTCTTTGATTGCTCTCTTTAAATATTTGTTTAACTTACCTGTTAATCCCATCATCTTCAGTACAGTTTGTTATAAGTAAACTTTATTAATTACTTCACTATCAATATCATTGATGTCAGTAAGAAAAAGTAAAGGCACAAAGGGTTATACCAAGTTCTACTCATGCTGGAATATTTAGACTGATAATAAATATACATACTTTGTAATTTTTACAATGTTTTATATTTTTGGGAGTTTTAACATCATAAAAAGGTTGTCTCCGATTGGAAATCGTATGTAATTGAAATTGATAAAGGTGATTGCATGAACTGTGGTTATAATACATTTTATGATTTTTTATAATAAGGTAATGGTAAAAGTGGGCTATGGTGTGAGTGAAAATATAGTATTACAATAAATTTTGTTTGATGCTTAAAACAGGTTTAACAAAGAAAAACAGCTTTTTATTTAATGTTTTTGCTCTTTTTTTGAAATCCATCTGTTAAGTATGTTTTTGGCTTAAATGAAATTTGGTATAATGTACCGTGACACAGTACAAACAATTAATCAGTATTTCCATTTACAGCTTCTATTTGTAGATTGAAAACTAATTTGAAATACCTTCGTCCAGTATCATGTATGCCTGTGCAAGATACACCTGCCCAGTTATCAGATCTATGGTATTGTATAACTTATTTCATGATAGCTTAATTAAAACAGTTTTGTTTACAATGAAGAGAAACTTTATAAACAAAATCTTTAGAATAATTTTTCTTCTTTCTTAATGTTTTAAAAGAAAAAAAAAGACAAGTCTAAAGGTACTTATGTAAACAGTTCTGAGAGTAACATGTCGAATGGCACTTCAGATTGTTTTCAGAAAGACTTCGACTTTTGTCATCTTTTTTTCTTTTAAAGAGAATCATTAATCTTTAGAATTTCGTAGCAGTTAGATTTAATAAAAGTATAAATGTAGCTACCAATTAAAATTTAATATTTGTAGAGGCATTAGTATACATAATAAGTAAACTTACTGTTCCAAAAATTGTTTAATTTCAAAGTCTAAGTTCAAGGGAGGTCCAGTTCAATCTACCTTTTGATCGACGTATGTTATTGTGTTATAATAGTTCTGGAGAATTCCACTTCTCATCAGTAACCCTGAACACAAGTTAACCAAAGAGAGAGATAAGCTGAACCTATTACATATTTTATGATAGAAAATATTTTTTTAATAAATGTTTATCAGCATGGTGCAAGTCAGCTAATTAATTATTAAATATAAAATTTGCGACAGCAGTTATGTGCTTGAAATAAACTTATTTGGATTATGTTATTCACTGAGGGTTAGATTTATATGCGACAAACTTTGTGCAGGCTAGTGTGATTTCTGCAATCCAGGTTTGTTTGTTTTTTATATTTTTTTATAACTTTTACTGAAATATTGATCAGATGGATAGTGTAATATTATAGAATTACATGTAAATAAAAATCTTTTCATTTCCAGATCTTGAGTGGTTCGTCCTCACTGGCCAGACCTTTAGCCTGCATGGTAACTAACGGGTCTGTTGGTGTTGAAGTAAGAAAGAAAAATGTTTTATGCTTTAGTGGTCTATGTAAACATGAAAAAAAGAGATTACGGTGACAAAATACAAGTCAATAACGAATAAAGGCTCAATTTTTTATTTTCCTAGAGTAAAATTTGATTCTTAGCCAAGAATGTATATATAGATTCTTTCAGGTGCCAAGTTGTGCAGTTCTTTACTGCTCCATGAATAACATTCACACTTTCAATAAGAAGAGTTGTAAGCTCTAGAATGATACTGATTTTAAACAAAAAAACTGAAGTTTGTTCTGAACGTATGTTAATAAATGAGTTTAATTGGTTAAAAATGGCATTCGTAATGTTTTATTTTGTTTTTTAGATAAAAAACCTTTATCAAATGGAATTATGTACTAATTAATTCTGGAAACAGGGTAAGGTAACAGTGACTAAACAGTTACTTCATTTAGAACATAGTTTAATTTTAATGTCTTACTCTGGAAGGAGGAATGAATAAATGGGTGTTTGTTGTCTTTGCAAAAGTTTCTTTAATACGAACCATTTAGTACCAAATGTATAATAAATCTGATCACACCCTGTATTTCCAGATGCAATGTGTACACAAGTTAGATTTACTTTGTGATAAAGTTCTCCTGATGCAAAAGATTTAAAACTAAAGTCCATAAAAACTTAATATTTTAAAAAATCTCTCACTTGTAAGTTGTCTCACTTCATAATTAACGAATCACTTATTTCCAACAATGACTTTTATTGCTCTTATAAAGAAAATTAGCAAATTTAATATAGTTTTTTTATACATGTATAATTACTGTACTTCTGGTAATTGTACAAAGAGGTGTAAGGTGGTTCTGTGTTATAATTAATCTCAATAAATCTTTAAAAATATGAATTCATCTAGGACAGTATGTTTATGTTCATAGACCACCCGATTTACTTATATTTATTTTTTTATTTGTATCTCTGCAGAACATGATACTACTACTTTCTTTCTGTAATTATATAACCTTTGTACCAATCACCTGAAGGGATCCTGTGGACCACAGTATAAGAGAAATATAACTTTTGCACATTTAGTTGTTACTTCAATGTTGTTGGGATTGTGTTTTGTAAAAAGAAAATAACATGACCGATTTTGTTTTCAGACCCCAAACAGACATTTTACCAACCAGAAAGAGACTGGGCCTATGTTAGTTTCATCATCTCCTGTTGTGAATCAGGTTAGTGAAGAGCAGTTACCATCCTTTATTTCATTTAGTGATCACAAAAGGATTAGTATTGAATACATATATAATGAAAGCAGATATTCTATCAGTTCACATACTTAGGAGAATGAGTTAACTCTTTCGACATGGGCTCGGTCCCCGGGACCGACCTCGTAACCATAACCTTGTTATAGTTTACATACTAATAACTTTTAATATTGTAAGTATATCTTTACAAAATTTTGTAGACTTATAGTAAACATTAGAAGCCTTTTGCACACAAAAAATCAGATTTTTAATGAAGTATTTTTACTTAAATTTGTCTGTGAAAATATCGATTTTTTTTTAACTAGTCTGAGTGCAAAGTGATTTTCATGTCAAAATTAAAAATACTTTTCATCATCTAAAAAATCTCAAATTTCCTTTGTGTAATCCCTAAATCCTCCTAACTGTATTTCAAACGTTTTTTTTTCACTAAATTCTTATAGTTTTTGTTATTTTCTCTACCCTATCTCAAAACAGTATGGGTCAATTTGACCAACCTCGTAACCACCAGAAAAAAAATTTAAATAAACCTAAATTAACCTTCTTTTCTTTTTAGAATGACTTCAAATTGTAACCTGAAACTACATTCGTTTATTCTAATTAGCTCTAAATTCGTAACATTATACATCTATTTATAATTAAATTTTAATGTTTTATTGCCCTTCTAACCGTGTTTAACTGCTATTCCTGCCATAAAAGTTGTAAATCACTTGGGCAACGTGCAGTTCACGTTACGCTATCGAATTACATTACCCACCATTATTATTATTACTTATTTTACCTAATCTAGTAATAACTTAAAAAGATCCATACTTTTAATTTTAGTTACTTTTATAATAATAAATAAAGAATGAATATGAAAAACAAGAAATAAAGTACTTACATAATCTTCTTTTTTTCTTGCCCTCGATTGTGAGGACAGTTAAGCCTGATTATTTTTAGTTATTATAGTAAAGCAGTAAACAATTTTTTATTTAATTAAATAATGCACCAAAGAATATAGACTAATAACATGAAAATAGTAGACAAATTCACTTACCTCTCAAAATTTTCCTGGCTTTCTAACAATGCGACAAGAGTCGTTACAAATTCTTCCAAGCTAGTCGTTAACTTCCCATGGGAATGAATCTTGTACTGTGAGTGAAATTAACAATATTCTGTTCAGAATACAACGTTATACAATATGCCATTCGATAGATGAAAACCTTGACTTTCTATTGGTTATAGGTAATATATAATGAAACGTAAGAGAGAACTATCAACCAATTGTGAAAGAGAGTATGTGGCAGGAGGGGGTCTGTTTTTTGTTTTTTTATAGCTCTGTAACAAAACAAAATTGAAGGCCACAAAATATGGTCTGTTTCAGCAATAACGATTTTTATAGAGAGCATTTTACATTTAATTTTGTACATTTTCGAGGGGTGATGGATAAAATAGGGATGATGACATGCTAAGACAAAATTTGTCTCGTTTGTTGCACTAGTGGAAATTCAGGATTATTTCATATATTTCCTTGTAGAATTAAGAACTTAAAACTTGTATACTATTAAAATATGGATTATTAGCTGAGATTTTATGCTATTCTAATTGGTATAACATAAACAAAAAGTAGCTTAATAAAATTTTGAATGTAAGACACGTGCAGTAAAGGGTACACGGGCCGAAAGGGTTAATTTTTCTTGAGTAAACCTACATATAGGTGTTTAATATCTGGGCCAGAGATTGGTGTCAGGAACTCTGGTTATTACAGTGTGTTGAGAAATTTGTCACTTTGTTGAGGATTGTAGAAGTTTATCCTGTTGTTAAATCCCAGTGTGGATATACAAATGAACACCAGGTGGCTCTTATCACTACTGCAACAGAGATTGTTTAAAACTTTAATTAATCAAGTATAATTTCCCTGCTGGAGTTCTATTTAGTCTTTTATTTAATATTTCTCTCTCAATTTTTGTAGTACATTTAATGTTTACAACAAATAAAACTGTAGTGGTTTTAAATTCTCTCCTGCAGATATCCAGATTACTCCATAGTAGTGCCATACAGAGAGATATTGATTCAGCAGCTAAGTTTATAGGAGCTGGAGCTGCCACTGTTGGTGTAGCTGGCTCAGGTGAGGTTAAACATTTGACAAGTAAAGTACATGTGAAGAGTAAACTCGTTAAAAGCACCGTATAATCATTAATCCGCACAGACTGACAGTGTATTGTGTCTGGTGACTACTAATGTAAAGTAATGAGATTTCACTTACAAAAAGTTTTGTCGTTTAAGTTTATATTACAATGTTTGGATATATATATATATATATATATCTTGTAATGAAGGTGCCAAGGTAAACTCGTGACCTGTTTGCAATGTGCTAAAAATGCTTTGGGCATGTAAGTTATGAGTAGACTAGTGAGCTGTCTGCAATGCGTTAAATTGCCTTGGACATGTAAGTTATGAGTAAACTCGTAACATGTCTGCAATGCGTTAAATTGCCTTGGACATGTAAGTTATG